ACTCGAGGGGGCTCAGCTTAAAGCTCTGCGGACTCGGATCTCGGTGGCCTTGCATGAGCGGTTCTTTCTTTTTAAGTAAGGGACAGAGAGAGGCATAGAGATCAAAGCAACCTGCAATAGGCCAGGAAGGGTCAGCACCCCTGCTCCCCCCACTCTCCAACATTCCTTCCCTCTATCTGTTCTGATCGTGACATAAGTGAAGAGGGCATTTTCCCTTCTATAATAAAGACCCCCAGCACAAAAATGGCAGAGGCAAGCCTGGATCAACACCTCTCTGGTCTGCCCCAGAGCATATGCCCTGCTTCCAAAACCTGGACATTGGCTGGGGTCCTGGGATGTCCCAGTTCTGGGCACAGCCTGGCCAGAGCCCACTTGAACTGGCCACCTCAAGACCACTTGAGGAAGTGGTCTGCCCACCTCTCCAGCCTCTGCCTTAGAAGATTGGCCAGGCTCTGGGGACCAGGCTAGTTGCACTCCCTGTATGTCCTCCCTCTCTCTCTCTCTCTCTCTCTCTCTCTCTCTCTCTCTCTCCTTCGCTCCCAGGTACTCTCACAAGCTGAGGGAAAGAATGTCATGGCATAGCTCAGTGCACCCACTCCACTCCAGTTGAGTTGACGCTGGGCCTTGCTTCTTCCTGCCTCCATAGCTATTGTTAAAATCAAAAAGCTTTTCTGGTTCCTGCAATGATGAAGTAGAGTTGAGAGGCTGTTTGAACAGCCTGGGCTACATAGTGAGACCCTGTCTCAAAATGCAAACAGAACAAAATAGTGTCACACCCCAAAGGATGAAGTAGGAAGGTTGCTTGAGGTTAAATTGGTCTACATGATGAGTTCCAGTCTTTATTGGAAAACTCTGCCTCAAGAAAAGAAAAAAGGAAAGAAGGCTAGCAACTTGGGTTCAAGACCAAGCTGGGCACTGGTGGTGAATACCTTTAATCCCAGCACTCCAGAGGCAGAGGCAGGTGGATCTCTGAGTTTGAGGACAGCCTGGTCTACAGAGAGAGTTCCAGGGCAGCCAGAGCTACACAGAGAAACCCTGTATTGAAAACCCAAAATCAAAACAAAACAAACAAACAAACAAAAAAAGGAATTCAAGAGCAGCCTGGACCATATGAGACCCTGTCTCAAAACCAAAACCAACCAACCAACAAAAACAGTGAAATAAATAAAGACCTTTTCCTGAAGGGCAGATTCATAGCCCATTCCTCCTGGGAGGTAGAGATTAACAGGACACTTCTCCATGTCCAGATGGGGACACCAGGAGGGCAAGGACTAGGTATCCAATTCACCCCAGTGTCCCTATGCTCCCAGCACAGCACAGTGCCTGTCAATATTTGCTGAATGAAAGAGTGAAATGATACTTGCTTCTAACTCCTGTATGATGAAGAATATAGCCAGCCTAGGGTCCTTTCTTCTCCCTTCTTTACCCCCCCCCCAGTTGCACTCCCTGTATGTCCTCCCTCCCTTTCTCTCTCTCTCTCTCTCTCTCTCTCTCTCTCTCTC